CCGTGCTTTTAACCCGTTGGTTGTTTATTTGGCCGTTAAAAAAAATGCTTTTTTTTTCGCTTTATTAGCAATTCGTTTCGTTATAATTAATTTAATAACCTTTAAAATTAATAATAATAAAACGATAAGCTTTCATTTCCCGGCTTATTTCCTTTTTTCGGTAATTTTATTTGGTTTGGGTAATATTACCGTAAAGGCTTTTTTAAAGCGTTTTAAAAAATAGTTTGTAGCAATTATTGCGTTAGCAAATTTCGCGATAACGGTTGCGCCCGGCAATCCGGCGGCTTTAAATAGCCCGTTCGGGAAGTAATTTTGGCCCGTAGCTTTTTACGGTTTGGTACGGCCCGTTGCTTCCATAATGTTTTGCGGGGTAATAAAAACGGGCATTTAAAAAGGGTTTGGGAAAAAGTAATTCGGGAATTTGGTTTTGCTAATATCGAAAATGTTAGTTAACGGGTTTAAAAAAAACTTGGATAATAAAATTTCGGTTTTTTTTGGTAATTGCAAAGCGTATCCAGGTTTTTTCCGGTTTTAATTAGGTTTGGTAGCCAATTCGGGGTTTTTTTTTAAAAGCTTTTTAAGCGGGCCCATTTTTCGAATTTTTAAAATGCGCCGTTTTTTTTAATATTTTATCCCGTTGCGGAAACGACGCTTTTCCAATAGTTGGACATTATTTAGCGTTTTTTTTTAACAAATGCTTTATCCGCGGTTTTATGCGCTTTTTATATTATTTGCGTTTTATTTTTAATAAAAGCGCGTTGCAAACGGTTCGTTTCTTTACGGAAATTGTTAAATTTTTGTATCCAGTAAAGGGCGCATTTGTTAAAAGGGTTTAGTTTCCGTTAAAGGGTTAATTGGTTAGCAAATTGGGTTAATTATTGCATTAACTTATTGGTTTTTTTATTTATAGCTTTAACGTTATGCATATTCCCGGTCGTTATTAATTTATTGGTTATTTTGGTTTTAGTTTTTGCTAATTTTTTTGTTAATTTAACGTTTTTTATTTTTAATTTTTAATTTATCGGAATTGGAATTGTTGCGGTTTAAAAAAAACGCGAAATATTTAGGATAAATGGTTAAACCTTTTTATTGTATTATTTTATTTTAAATATTTTACTTTAAATTGTTGCGTTACCCAAACGTAATTAATTGTGCTATTTTTTTCTTTTCGTTTTTTTTTCGTAACTTTTCCGTAAAACGTTATTAATCCAAATCGTTTGCGGCGTGCTAATTTTAAAAAGGTTTTGCTTTTTGCGTTGTATTTATTATATAAATCCCAAATTAAATGGTAAAAGTTAAAATTGCTTGTAAGGATTGTATGCTTTTGGGTTAGGTAAGTAACGATTGTAATAAAGGGCGTTGCTTAATCGGGGCTTGCTTTAGGATTTAAAAAATATATCGAATATATTTTTAATAAGCTTTCCGGCGTAATAATTGTAATTAAAGCTTAATTATAACCGTACCGGGCGGTTTATAATTTAAAAGCAAAACGGTTATGCACGTAAAGTGCTGCGTTGGAATTAAATTTTTGGTAATAAATAAGCTCGTAATTGCAACCGTACGGTTTTAAAAGGTTTCCGTGCTAATTGCGCTCCGGCTTTTAAATAATTAAAATATTGTATTATTTATTGCTATAAAAGGGAAAGTTACCTTTTTTTTTGCCTTTTCCCATATTCCAATATAATATATTTAATTTTATACGTTGCTATTATTATTAATTAGCTGGTTAAAAATAAACGTAATTCCGGTTGCAAAAAAGCTAAACGGTACCGATGTAAGGCCAAATTGGGTTGGTTAAAATGCAAACGGTTGGGGTAAAGGTAAATTGGAAAAGGAGGAAAAGGTTTTATGGTTTAGCGTATTAGCAAAATTAAAATTAGTAACCGCGGTATTGTTAAGTGCCGTTAAGTTGTTAGCGGCCCGGCATTTATTTGTTCCTTTTGTTCCCGTTATTTTGTTAAGGCCGAAAAAGGCAAGGTTTAAATTTGTAAAGTATTGGTTTATTTTAAAAACGGATTTGGAAAAGCTTAACGTTTTTTTATTGCAAAATTTTCGTAATTTGCTTATTCGTTTTTTGGTTAAAAAAATTTTTTTTGCTTTCGTTGTTTTTAGTAAAAAACCGTTCCGTTTACATTTCGTTAGCAATTTTAAATTAAATAAATCGTTTTTTTTTTGTAACGGTTAGGGGGGGCCGGGTAAAGGGCGGATAAATGTAAAAAGCGGGAAGGTATAAACGGTAAAATAATTTATTTGGTTCGGTTAAAGTGCGCGTTCGTTCCCCGTTTCCAAAGCAAATTGTTTCGGCCGGTTTAAAAATATATTTTTGGCCTTTTTAATTTTTTTTTTTGCTGCGGGGCATTTTTATTGGAAAGCCGGGTAATTACTTCCGTAATTGCAACATTTTAATTTGTTTTTTTTTGCAATAAATTAACCCTCGTACAACGGGCACAAAAATTCCCCGGCTTTACCGTTGCTATACAACGGCCCGGCGCAATGCAAGCAATAAACCGTTTTTTTGCAAAATTTCGATTTATATTTTTACCCGTAGCATTTATAACATTAAGCGGCTTTCGCTTCCGTTGCAAATGGTTTAACGTTAAAAATTTCGCTTTTAAATACAAAACCGTTATTGTATACGGTTTAAATTGCGGCGGGAAATGTAATTTTAACCAATACCGTAACGTATTTTTCCGGTTACCGGGCGTTCCATATATAAATGGAATTAATTTCGGCCTTAATATTATGCGCTTTAAATTTATGCAACAAAATGCTATTATCGTTAATTGCGTTTTATTAAATGCTTTTAATTATAACGTTATAAATTTGGGTTTAATGTATTGCTTTATTGCTAAATACTTTAATAACTTACGCGGTATTTTTCGTATGCTTAATAACGGTTATATAAAATAAAATTATTACGTTACCGTTGGAAAACTTGCGCGTTACTTTTACGTTGCTGCCAAACTTTTTAATTAATGTAATGGTAATTTTAACGGGTATACGGTTTGCAATTTTAAAAAAAGCGTTTTTAATTAAAATGGTAATTTTGCGTTTGGTACGTACGAAAATATATTTTGGGGGGGAAAGGCCGGTATTAAAAAATGCGTAAAGGCAAATTGTAAATAAGTAATTGCCGGTTTAACCGCTTTGCGGCAAACTAATTGCTAAAACCGAAGCGTAATTAATGGTTTGCTTGCGGGCGTTGCGTATTTTAGCGATAATTTCGTTTTTTATAATGCAAAAATAATTGGGCATATAATTGCAATAATTGCGAAATTGCATTTTAAACGCGTTTGTTACGGTTTTAATCCATTTTTTTACAATTTTAAGCATTAATTTAGTGCTACCGGGGGGTACGAAAAGCTTTAATGTTTTAATTAATTGGTTTTTTAAATTTGCAATGCGGGTACGCGTTAAAAAAGGGTTAAAAGCGTTGGTTATAATGGTATTATTGCTGGCTTTGGGGCGGTTAATAACCGTTCCGCCGCTTTCGGGGCTGCTGGCGCTGCCAGCAGCCGCGCCGTAAACGCGCTCGCGCGCGGACATACGTCCGGTAACGAGCCGGAGGCGAGGAGTCTAAATTTAATGTCGGATTTGCTGTATTTAATGGCGTTTTCCCGTCGCGAAATCGGGGAAGCAAAAGCGGTTTGTTATATATTTATTTAATAATTTATATATTTTTAGCAATTGCTGGGGCGCTTGTTGGCTATTTAGCAATTTTGTAATTAAAATGGTTAAAAAAAAGGAAATAAAAAATCGATAATAAGTTTAAAGGTAAGTTTAAAGCGTTAATAACTTTTTTTGCATAAAGTGCTTGTTTTTCGCAAATTGGTTTTGTACTTGTCGGGTTTTAATTTTGCGTATTAAAAATTGCTTAAACGAAAAAAAAAATCTTTTATGGTAAAATGGTAAAAAGGATAGTAAGCGGTATTATTTAAAGTAATTCGTTTTAGTTATTTAATGCCGGGTTAAAATGTTAGCTTGGGAAATCGCATAGCGCCCTTTTTTAATGCTTTTTTAACTTTTATAGCCGAAAGTAAATGAAAAATGCGTTATTAAGCGTTAAACCGGTAATTTTCTGCTTTTAAATTTTTTATTTAATATAATTAAATAAAAACCCTTTTTTTAACTTTTTTGTATTGCTTTTTGCAATATTAATTAATGTAAGGAAAATTTAAAGGTAAAATCCTTTGTTTGCGGAGCTCCAAACGGCGTAAAATTAAATTTTAATAATTATTAAAAAGTAAGTTAAATAAAAGTATTGTATTTAGGTTTAAGGAGGAAGGAATCTTGCTAAAAAAGAAGGACGGATCCGACCTCCTTATATAAGGGACAAAGGAGCTTTAGTAGCTTTGTGCACAGATCGTGGATTTGTGCATGGGGATCCCATGGATCCCGTGCATGCGCCCATTTGGTAGGTTCCAACAAAAAGGCTAATTAAAAGCATTACAACTTTGCAAAAGGAAAAGGGTACCCGCGGATCCCAATAAAGCCTTTATAAATATATACCGGGTTGCAGCGAAAAGGGGGGAGGTTTTGGAAAAAGAAAATAATGCATTTAAAAGCCCGGACAAATTTGATTAGGAATTAGTTTCGTTTTGCATTGAAGCTGCTTGAATAAAGGTAGAAATTTGCAGTTGAATGCAGTAGGTTGGATGGTGATTGGACCCTTACAAAGTGTCCGGATAGGGGGGGTGGTCGGACAGGGGGTGCATTAACTTAATCCGCTATTTTGCAAAAAAAAAAATCGTAAAAATGTAATAAGTTAAACTACCAGGTACTGTTTAGCGGGTACCGAAATAGTGTTATTTTACGAAGTAAGGAGAAAGTTGGGTCCTTGTTCTTAGAGGATTCGGGGTGGTTCCTATATATATATAAGTTTTAACTTAAAGGGCACCCTTTGGGTTACGTGATCCGTGCTCAGCACGGATCCATAACACCGGCACCAATTTCACGCGATTTCACGTGGAATCCTGACTCGTTTCCCCGATCCTCTTTCTCGGCTCCCCTTTACTTTTTCATGCATCCATTTTTTTAATCCGCTGGTATCTGTCATGTTTGCCTGCCCCTGTCGCCTGCTTATTTAAACTCGCTGCTGCCCTTTAATGTTAACCACCTAAACTCGCAAGCTATTTCCACTGGCGACACCTTTTCACGCACCAAAGCCTAAACCACCTGATATCACCAAGCCCAGCTTCTCACCGACAGCACCCTCGTCCAGCCCAGTCACCCAAAGTCGATATCATGCCGGCAATTGGAACCACTGCCGTCGGCCTTATGGCCGGCCTGCACGGCTACATCATGGTCCTGGAAATGTTTCTGTGGACAACACCGCGAGGAAGAAAAGCGTTCAGGCTCACCCAAGAGTTCGCCGAGAAGACCAAAGTGCTGGCGGCCAACCAGGGGCTCTACAACGGCTTTCTGATGGCGGGCCTCGTGTGGGGTCTCGCGCATCCCGCGCCAGACGTGGCCAAGCAGATCAAGCTTTTCTTCCTGAGCTGCATCACCGTCGCCGGCGTCTACGGCGGCCTAACGGCCAACAAAAAAATCATTTTCATCCAAGGCATCCCCGGCGCAATTTCCCTCGGCGCCGTGCTGCTTGGTCTCTGAGACTTCGGCTTGTTTGACTTTCCGCCACAGCCCGGAGATCTCCGCGCGCCCACCCGAAAAAAAAAAATTGGACCCGGTCCACTCTCGATCTAGCGTTCCTCGGACCGCGGCTCGCGACATCGACAGGATCTCCCCCCTGCCATCTTCGCTTCGGTCCGGGATAAAGTTTTCTATCGCCCCCGCTAGTCTTTCGTCATTTGGGACTCTGTACCATTTACTTGTATCACCATTTGTTTGTGTCGAAGTACTTCACAGCCTGATGGACTAGCTATGCGATAATCTCACCACGCTCGACGAGCTGGTTGCCTTGCTTCATTTCGTCCCATTGGAACGCGTGAACGGATATGACCCTGCGTGTATCTACCGACGCGCACATCAAGAGTTATGGCACGGGAGGTTAGACCTCAATGTGGACCCTGGGATCTGCCCACCCCTATTGCTATGCAGAGTGTTCCTCTTGTACCTCTCGCGCCGTCACCGTAAACTGCGACTAAAGCTTGCTCCACGACCCCCCCGCCGGTGGGCAGAGCCACCTATCCCAAAAGAACGCTATCCATCTTTCGTGGCCTAGCAGGAGATGATGCTAAGCATAGGAGACACTTTCTATATGGAGGGGTTTCTCACAAGGAGACCGAGTACCCATCCGCTTCAGTGAATGTGCCCAACGCACTCGCTCCGCTTACCGAAGCTCGGTTTCCAACGCGCATCGGACCTTTAAGCTTTGGGTTTCTTTCGTATCTCCCTCGTATACGCCCGCTCTTTTGTGGCCGCAGCTCTACGCGTTTGTGGTATCGGTCAATTTCCACACTTCTATCGGGTATGTCCAACCTAACCTTGACCTTGATTGTTGTGTAGTTGAGGCTGCTTTGTTCCTTTCACGGCTATTCACATGCATAGTAAACAGTAACCGGGTGCCATGCCTGACCATGATGCATCGCCGACTAGACAAGGCGTTAGTGAGAGTGGCGCCAGGACCCTTAAGGAGGATGTGGGTGCTTTAGGACTAATCACCGTGCATAGGGTCTGCCCTTTATGAGCAGCTGAATCATGTTTCCCGCTGGGTAGCCGCGGTGTGTTGACTGGCTCACACTCAAACATCCCGAAGGCTTTTTCTTGGTGGTGGCTGTCCTGCCCGAAGTACCGGCTTGGTGGTGCTTACTTCTGCCGGCAGTCAGAAACCATTCGTCTTGTTTGATAATGGTCTGTTACAGCCTTACCTCTGTCTTATGGTTTGTCTTGTTCAATCTGTATTAGGCATAGCCTTTTAATCGAAGTTCACCTAGATACCGGATACCCTCCTGCCCGCGGTGGCTGACAGCCCCACCTATGGTAAGTGGTTTGCCACTGTCGGGGCTCGTGTGCACTCGATGGTGTACCTATCATTCCATATCTGTTCCGAGACATGGCCAGTGTCTGAATAGTACCGGTAGGGGATGTCATACCAAACGTGCCAAAATGCGGCAGACACTAAACGACAAAGCCGACGCGCCATAAAGGGCCACTGGTAAATGTTAGAAAGTATTGCTCGTCGAGCTGAACTATAAGTACGCTGACTACCAAATTAATTACCGGTGCGGTTTGTCGAAATATGTTGCAAGTGTCGGAATTCTAATGTGTGCAGATGCCGGCATACGGTAACAGTATGCATGGAGGCTCTGCGGATAGGTCGGTACGTTTTAAAAACGCGGACAGTTCTTATCAATGGGTCTCCCTCCTATGAAAAGCCGCCAGCTGGTCCAGTGGCGCATTGGTTCGGTTATAAGTCGCGACAGCGAGCCCGTACATGTAGCCCGGGATGGGAGGGACTCGAAAGACGCCCGCACTGGCCCTTTATGTGACTTCCCCAGTAGCCGGAACTTATCTAGGCTTAGGTGTGTTAGTGGCCGCTTTGGTGGAGGGGTGACGCAGACTGGATGTCAGTGCACGGGGAACTGAGCAGCCGTACAAATGTACGACCTTCAAGCCGGGCGATAAGATTTTCACAGACCGGAAAGGGAGGAAGGGGGTAAGAACTCATTGGGTTCATGCCATCGACTATAGCAGCGGAGTAAGACATTTGTTGTTGTAACACCCCGAGGTGTTATTAGTTTAGGCATACGAGCTGGTTGTTTGTATTGTGTGATATTTACTAACATTAAACAATACAAAAATTAACAGCACATTCATTTCTACCGTTTAAAAGGCAAATATAGTATCATTCAAATCAGGAGCCACACGAGACCAGCTTCAACAAAATACTCAACCAAATTTGCCTTCGGTTGGCATGAAATATTGGGTTATATCCAAATCAGACTGCCAAACGGGCCGTGTTTTTGTGGCGGGTGGAGCTGCACTGACGAGCCGCACCAGCTCCTCCAACCCAGAAGCGCGCGGGGGTATGCCGGCCCACGCATTTGTACAAGCCACACCTCTACCGGCACCACATTCCCGAACCTGCCTAACGCAGGCACCGTGGCACAGGGAAAGCTGGCTGGGGAGACCCACAACGAAGCAGAAAGAACCTCAATCGCCGTTCCCGAGAAGCTCGACGCCTCCCACTCTGCATTGAGCCGGCCGCACATCGAAACGCGACCCCCCCGACGACGACAATTAATCGCCCACCCAGATCAATGGGCCGGATTCGGACCGCCTGGACAATAAACGTGTCGCCGACCACGTTTCCTCCCCATTCGCGAAGCTGAGCCGTGTCCCGACGAGATCCGTCCAGTCCCCCCCTCCCCGACCGCAGGCCGCCGCGCCCATCGCATCCCGACAACATGTCCACCCGTCAAGCTGCGCTGTGAGTGTGCTTGCCCTTGGCCCTCGGCCCGACCCTCCGTACCCCATCGCAGAGCCCGCCGGCTTACGAGTCCATCATGCAGGTCGCTCTACCGCCGCTCCCTGAAGCTCTCGCTCGACTGGGCCGTCCACAGGCACCTCTGGCGGGGGCAGGCTCTGTACATCCGGTCGCTGTTCGAGGCCAACAAGAGCATCAAAGAGCCGCGGCAAATACGAGTACGTTGGCCCACCAGATCAGCGGCTCAGCCCCGGTGATCCAATACGTCCCACTAGCGGTGGATGTGGCTAATGCGACAGACGACGTTGTGCGACAGGCTCTCCTGAAGGAGACCGAAACCTTGCTGGATACATGGAAGCATCCTGACCCCTTCTGTCACCCGACGGCCCCAGGAGGTATGCGCCACGCCATGCGGCCCACCACCATCGATCCTTTACATGTGGTACGGCTGCTGACCACTGTTCTATCACCCTGCGCAGGTTCCAAGTTCGAGAGAAACCTACCTCCCCCGAGGACCGACCGTAAGTCCAGCGTCCCCGCGAGCCATGCGCCCACTTGTGCGGGCCTAATGCTGACAATTCTCTAGCTCCTCCCCCACTCAAGTTCTGAGCGGTATCCACGGGAAGATGTCTAGGACGGAAGATGTCTGGGAAAGCATATGTATTTAGATAAAACCCGACATCAATCGACGGCCAGAGAGATGCGACTTGCGGAAGATGAATCGGAAAGCCAATATGTTCATCTGTCCAGGTTCAACATGTGCATGCGAAGGCAGTGGGGTTGGCTGGACCTGAACTCCTACAATTGAGGCGTAAGAGATGTCAAAGCACACCGAGGATCCCAGGGGTAAACATCGACTTGGGCACACCGCGACTACACGAACAGAAAGCACAAGTATACGGAGGCAACAGTGGGAGGCCAAAAAGCAAGCGGTTTCGACTAGGACTCAGATCGCAAAGCGGAGAAGAACACAGGACATCGTAGAGAAGAATAAGCAGTAGTTGTTGTTCAGAAAGGCTCAATTCATGACCATTTGCCGTGGGGAATTAATGTACAACCCTAAACGCAAAAAAGCAACCCATAAACCCGAAACCGTGACCCTAATGTCATGACACCCAGACGAAGCCAACCGGAAAATAAACCAAACACAACGCTCACAGCTCCTGGCTTTGCTTGGCGCCCTTGGCAGCCTTGCCGGTCTGCTTGGGCAGGAGATCTGGGGAGAAGGAAAGGTCAGTAACAGAAAACCAAAAAGGCGCACGGTGAGGCAGAACATACTCTGGTGGATGTTGGGCAGGACACCGCCCTGGGCGATGGTGACGTGGCCCAGAAGCTTGTTCAGCTCCTCATCGTTCCTGATGGCGAGTTGCAGATGACGGGGGATGATACGTGTCTTCTTGTTGTCGCGCGCGGCATTGCCCGCCAGCTCCAGAATCTCGGCGGCGAGGTACTCGAGGACGGCAGCCAGGTAGACGGGGGCGCCAGCGCCGACACGCTGGGCGTAGTTGCCCTTGCGGAGCAGACGGTGGACACGACCGACGGGGAACGCCAGACCGGCCTTGGACGAACGGCTGGGGAGAGAATCGCAGGGTCAGCGCGCGCGTCGCGGTGAGGGAAGACGCGTCGGGGTCGGTTTGAATGCCGCGCGGGAAGCTGGAGCTGAGGACGCCTTGGGCGACCGGCTAACCAGGCTGCATTCAAAGCGAAGGGGCGAACTGTTACTTACGATTGCGCGTTCTTGGAACCGCTAGCCTTGCCGCCGGACTTGCCGCCTCCAGTCATTTTGATAGATTTTTTTGGTGGTGGAAAAGTGGGAAAAAAGTGGCGTGTGAGTCTGAAAGACTGGAGAGGCTGTAATTGTGGACGAATGCGGGTTCGTAAGTGTGAGTTGTAGATGGAGAGTTGCAAGCCGAGAGCGTGGTGCTGGCGGGGGAGCTTATGGGTTAAGTACTTTTCGCGTGTCGAGAGGCAGATCACGGATCACTGAAGGGAAGACAGGAGCTAGTCCCAATGCGGATTGCCTACTGGGCCGCGGTGGGTGCACGCGCAGGTGGGCGGGCCGGGGAAAACGCCAGCCAACAAGAAAATCCGCCAGACCCACTTGCGCGTCGCGACACCTTGACACCATTGGGCTTGTTTTTTATCGGGGCCTGCAGGGTGCGGTACGTACCTGGATGCCGTGCTTATCAAACCCCCAGCCAAGATCAGAATCCTGGCGTGGCTGCCAACGGAGTCCCAAGGTCAAGAACCCCTTGTGGCCGCTTTATTATTCGCTTGGTCCCTCCTCGCCTTCCCCGGTTGCTTGTCCTCCCTTTTCCCTGTTGCGCCTTTGGCCCCCCCCCCCCCCTGCCTACTAGGCTGGAATCGGGGCATGTTTTCTTTTCCTGCCGTTTGTTTTTTTTCCTGCTTGCTTCCAATCATCCTTCAGCTGCCTGCGTGCTACTGATCTGTCCTCGCTTCTCATGTCTCCCTCAGCACCGAGAGACTTTGATTGAACCAGCCCGACTCCGAGGTCCAACGCAAATCAGCTCATGATTCCTTTCTGATCCCGGAGGCTTGTCCGCTGCCGCAGACGCTTTGAGCCTCGATTGTCGGTCTGCGGGTGCAAGGTCGGCACGATTCGTCAAGGTGGACCTGCAGTGAGAATCCATGGTCGTTGACCGGACACTCGAATGGGCCACCTTCGATTTGCAAGCCATTCAGCCAGGTTGGATAGGTGACGGCTAATGAAAGAGGATCGGGTCTTGTGATCCTAGTTCACTTATGAAGCCATTTTCCACTTGCACTTTCCCATTCATTTTTGTCTGATTTTTTGGTCATTTTTCTGTGTCATTTTTAGGTACTGAAAGCCGTCCCAGTCATGGGTGTCTTTTTTCTTAGTCGAATAATATGTGAATGTCGTCGAAAATCGTGCAAAATTCCAACATCGTGTCCATATTGAGCCTCACCACGTTTCTCCATCGAATTTGACCGACATCCGTGTCAGGTGCATTTGGAACCCCGTGGGGTAGCGGCCGTACCCCCAAGTCCCGTCTGGACGGCCTCTCGCGGGGGTCTGGCACGTCTCCTGGACGGGCTACACCGGCCCCCGGCTGTCGGGATTCGTGGGGGACATCCGACGGCGGCGGGAGATGTGGAGAGGCACTAACGAGATGCCAGACAAGGCAGCGGGAGCGGCGCCGTTGCGGGTCAGAGAACACTCTCCCGGGCGGCTGGGCCGTGGGATACCGGTAGCTACGGACCTCTCACCGAGGCAGTGGAACACGCTGCACGGCGGACGCGCGCAGCGGGTGTCGGACTGTATCGGCGCATTAGGATCACGTGGCTGTCAAGGCATTGTGTGCTACAGTTCTGGCAGGCCTCTACGGATAGGGCGGAAGGGCCCAAGGCGAGAAGCCACCGAGCGAGGTACTTCGGGTGGCTGGACTCTGGGAGCGAGCAGGCGTGTCCACCGGGCACCGCACAGTGCACTGGGAAGGTCGCGTCGCGTCACCTCAAGTCCCGACCCGGGGCATCGTGGAGGGTCGGAATGCCCCCAGCTCAGGGTGACGCGTGAGCGTTGATTTCGACAATCGAGCCGGGCACGCGTGCCTGCCAGGAGGTCCAGCTGCGGCGGAGCAGCGCTGCAGGGGGGTGGGTGCGAGCGACACCGCCGGCTGGCCTCACAAGCCCGATTTCTCCTTGCGTCGATTTGCTAGTCGAGCGAGCCGCACGAACAGGCCAATCATGGAGCTCGCAGCTCTGCCTCTGCTAGGGTGGGGCAGGACCAGAAGGCAGGGATTGAAGCCTGGGGGTTGGGCGCAATAAAATCCACACCACTCCATCCACTTTGCACGCACGCAAGACAAGACCCGGCAGGAGCACAGACCAACCCGCATTTTCCTGTCTTTTTCAAGCGGGCCACACGCGCGTTGGAGATCAACCACCCGCACCCTGCCGGCTTCCCAGCGCAGGCCCGCCCCAATCAGTAACAGTGTTTCCGCCCAGCGCGTCAAACTACAAAAGGTTGACCGTCCCCAAATCTTCATTTCTTCCGCCAGTATTCCACCTCTTCCACAACAACCACATCAACGCCCACATCTGCAGTCGCACGCTCGCATCTCCCAGACTCTCTGCTCACCCATTTCCAACTTTTTAATCTCTTTTTTAATCCCAACCAACCGCAAAAATGCCCCCGAAGGCCGCAGACAAGAAGCCCGCCTCCAAGGCCCCGGCCAGCGCCTCCAAGGCTCCCGCTGAGAAGAAGGATGCCGCGAAGAAGACTCCCGGCTCCGGCGACAAGAAGAAGAGGACCAAGACCCGCAAGGAGACCTACTCCTCGTACATCTACAAGGGTGAGTCACTGTCGGCTTTTCTGTCTCGGACGCGTCTTCTCAACATACTAACGCGCCACTTCTAGTCCTCAAGCAGGTCCACCCGGACACTGGTATCTCCAACCGTGCCATGTCGATCCTGAACTCGTTCGTCAACGGTAAGCACGGCTTCTCCCATTTTCGCTATGACTTCATCTTTTGGACGCGCCTCTGATCAGCAATTCCTCAGACATCTTCGAGCGCGTCGCCACCGAAGCCTCCAAGCTTGCCGCCTACAACAAGAAGTCCACCATCTCCTCCCGAGAGATCCAGACCTCGGTCCGCCTCATCCTGCCGGGTGAGCTGGCCAAGCACGCTGTTTCGGAGGGTACCAAGGCCGTCACCAAGTACTCTTCATCCACCAAATAAGCATGTTTTGTCTGTTTCTTTCTGTTTTCTCGCGTGTTCATCTTATTTAGGGCATGGGTCTGCTTTTCGGTACGGGTGTCATGATGGGCTGGCAAGCGGGTTCGCCCTCACTCGACTGCCTCCTAATGCGTTATGGTTTGGCTTTTTCATTTGGGGACACTCTTCGGCCAGGGGTTTGCGGCTGTACAATACCAAGTTGAGGCGTATGGATTTAAAGAGCAGTAAATCCTACACATGAACATCACAGACCAGTACCTTCCAGTGACGCTCGCATAGACACTGTAATACCATTCTTCTCGCACTCTCCACCTGCTGCTCTATCTGCGTAACAAAGCCCAGACACCATGCTGTCCACATGTTGTCCAAACGTGGAATCTTTCACCACTAGTTGACAATCTATGCCCCTGTCGCAGATGAATTATCCTGTAGTTTAAGCCCCAGTGCATTATCCAAGCCCTGCCTTGGACACCTTCATCACATGAGCCACGGGCTCTAGGATTCCCTTGTTATCCAGGGCTCCGAGGCCCATCCCCTTGGACCAGCCCATCTTTTCCAGCATGGTGCGACCCTTGTTCGTCTCCCCAAGCTCGGGCGCTGAACCACCAACGACTTCGCCGTCACGGCATCCAACTGCACCAAAGCCTCCTGCTGATCGACCACCGCCACTGCCGCCGCCGCCGCCTCCTCCGCCCCGTCCCGACTTTCGCTGCTTGTCGGCCCGGTGGAAAAATCGTCGGTTGACACGATGGAACGCTTTCTCGATAGCGTCTTCACTGTACGCCGGTGTTGCTTTGGTGCGATGCAGAACGGGACGTCGCTGGACGCCTTTGCCAGTTGATTTGGACTTGACATGCAGCCCGAGGGCAATTTCGTGCACGATCTTACGAGCCGACGGATCCATTGGAGGTAGCGTGCAACTGGCCGAGTTGTTTTCTCCGCATCAGCCACGATTATCAAAAGCGAGGGAAGAGATATGGAAACTTACATCTGGTCACCGGTGATGAGGAATGTGGAAAATTCCTGTCGCAGCTCGTCTATGTTGATGCCATCGACGTACTTGACCCTGGGGTCGTCTGGGTTTGGATGCTTCCCCAGCAAACCCTTGGCGCGGAGCTCCTCTCTCTCCTGCTTCCTCTCTTTCTTCTTCAGTCTATCCTTCTCGAAGGTCGCCTCCACTATGGCATTGAGATCCTCGTCAGCGACGTCGAAGTTGGCGGCCCCGTGCTTGCCCTTGGGTTTCTTGCGCAGTGGGTTGGTGCGGTCGCAGTCCATGACCAGATCGAGATCGTCGAGCACATCGGCAACAGCCGCGGCGTTGTCTGCGGGGTTGTTCTCCTTGAGAAAGGCCTGTGGGCCCTTGCGGCGAGAACGTGGACTGCGAACAGACCATGCAGCCGCCTCGTCAAACAGGATCAGCTCGTCGCCGTGCATTCCGAAAGACTCCTGTTTCGCGAGCAGCCTGGCCAATTCCTCGTCGTCAATATCGGGAGGAGGAGAGTCTTTATCCTCGGACAAGTCAGCAGGATCGCCATCGCCTGTCACGCCATTGTCAGAATCGGCATCACTGTCGGCGTCTGTGTCGGAATTGCCACCGCTGTCGCCCTCCGGCTGGACGACCATGTCACCATCGCTGCCTCCGATGTCTCTCGCAGCAAAAGCTTTGTGCTGCGCAATCAGATCCTCCAGCCCCTCCATGTTCTCTAGGTAATCTTTTAGAGCCTCGTCCTCGAGGTCGCTGTCCTGGAGTATGGCGTCGAAGGAGACGGGGCGATCAGAAGCCCCTGACTTGTTGCTTGCTGACGAAGGAGCCATCGGTGGCATTGTAGAAGATTCCGCGGCGGACTGCTCGTCCGGCGCAGGTTTCGCCTGGAGCCTCTGCGCTTGCATCCTAGCGACGATCTCGATCTCGCGCTGCATCTCGTGGACGGTGATGGTGGTGGGCACCGGTCGTGGAGCGGCAGATCTTCCTTTGAACAAGATGACCTCTTCGCTCGAGTCTGTCTCGTGGTCGCTATCGTGGCTTTGGGGCTTCAGCTCCGCCTTGGGAGCGTCACTAGAGCGAAGTGACTTGTCTCCTGAGGTATCGACAAAGAAAAGGTCGCTGCTGGAGGTTGGCGTGGGCCCCTCCTCTGTTCGTGGCGGCTCAGAGATCGCCCGGTCATCCGGGGCAGCTAGGGCCTCTGGGGCAGTCGGCCTGCTCGGGGGAGCAACAGGAGGCTCCGACTGCACCACTTTCAGCGGGTCTATCATGCCCCCGCTGATGAATTTGACTGGTCTGTCTCGAAGACGGTCGTCTCCGTCCCATTCTAGGTATTCTCGTGAGGTATTCCTGGCCTCATCCTGCATAGAAAATGCATTGGAGACTATGGGAAACGAGTCCATGGCGTGGGCGGATGGGTTAGGAGGGTGCCGCCAGAAGCCTGGAGCACCGCCGCCCCGGCCTCCATGAGCTCCCCTCGAAGGGCCATTCCAGCCGCCACGGCCTCTCTTCTTCCGCATGGCTAGTCCGCCGCAGCCCACGGGTTTGGTGGTTTGCGGGACTTTTTCTGAGATGTTGGCGATTGTTTGCGTGTTGCGGATGTCTGGGAGTTAGGCTGGTGGAGTGCTCTTCGCAGGATGGCCAAAAAGGGCTGACAACTGAGGTAAAAAATAAAATGGGTCTCACTGAAACAATGCAGGCTGGCGTGTCTGATTGGGCAAGGACGTGCAGTCACTACCCGCAGGCGACTCAGTGTGGGGCGTCGCCGTTTGCAAACGGAACGATTCTACGGTCTTGGGAGTCTGCGATGGTTTGCAAACGGAACGATTCTACGGTCTTGGAAGTCTGCGATGGTCTGCATTCAAATACGTACATCATCGCTTTGAGCCGGCCAACAAGCGCAACTGGACCGACAGGTGTGAAATCTCGCACCTCTTTTGCGCTTCTTGAGCTCAGAGCTGTCACAGCCCTTCCTCGGTGTGAAATAGATGATGGTCTCCATCGTCCCTATCGCACGTCGCGCCAGCTGGAGCTCGGTCGTCAGGGGTGAGCCCTGTCAGGCGGGGCCCCCACCTGGATAGATCAGCACCGCGGCGTGCAACTGCACTTCGGGGCGTGGGCGGTGGCGTCACAAGCCAGGCCTCCCGCCGCCCGTCACGCCCATGTGCTGGTCACGTCCGCTCTGCGCATTCAGGATTCCCCTCCAGTCAAATCCCCAACCCCCTGGCCCAACCAAAACATCGATACGGCACTGACCTCAGCACGGTGACCTCGGCTCCTAACTTACCTCACTGTTGCTGTCTCTATTTCTATTGAAGTCCGCCGGGGCTGGGTAACCTGGCCGAGCTGACTTGCCTGGGTGGGTCATCCTAAGCTGGGTTCTGGGTCATTGGCCACCGCCCCCTCCCTGTAGATTCGAGGCAGCAGCGCCAATAACGGCAGTCACCCGCCCGCCGCGCTCCCTCCGGTAGCCACTGGCTGTCTGCATCATCCACACCAACCTCCTGTCATCATCGATTTCTACGCCGCTTTCGCACAAAGATTCACGCGCTCAGCAACACGCCGCTCCAACATCCCGTCCACCCAGGATCCTAAATCCCCCCGCCGTCGGATCCGGCAGTGCGCCGTCATTCCTTTAGCCCCTCTCGCGACTTTGGAACAGCGGAACTATCGAGACTGCCACAACGTGGCCTCAACAGGTATAGGCACGAGTACATCACCATGGACAGCGCTGTCGCCGGCGCGGTGGACCTCGGTCGTTATGGCCGCCGCATAGTCCGGATGATCTGGGACCCCGAACCCACCAACAACCCAGCATCCAACCGCCCTGTGTGGTGCTTGGGGTGCGAGTACACGCTTGATCCTGGACATAGACCTTCGGCCGCCTCCAGCCAGGCCAAGAAGGGTGCTGCCACGAACGACAACCCCGTTGCCGCCGCCCAGATCGCGACCACACCCCCGGCCACCGACGCTCCGGAAGCCCCTCCCAAACCTCCCCAGACCGCCCCCACGCCTGCCACTCCGCCGGACTCCGTCTCTAGCAGCTTCGACTCGTCGCTGGCGTACGACGACATCCCCGACGATGGCGGCTGGCCCCCGGCATTTCTCGACGATTTCGAGTCCCGGATCTGGGTTTCATACCGGTCCGGCTTCCCGCCCATTCCCAGGTCTACGGATCCTGCCGCCACATCACGCATGTCCTTTGCCATGCGTCTCAAGACAATGACAGACCAACAGGCTGCATTTACAACCGATAGTGGGTGGGGGTGTATGATCCGGACTGGCCAAAGTCTGTTGGCGAACACGCTGCTCTCACACCGCCTTGGTCGCGGTAAGCCGAGTCTCTCTTGAGTCGTCGAGCCCGATGGTTGCTGACTATGCATGCGCGTTTATAGGTTGGCGCCGAGGCGAGAAATCGGATGAGGAGCGGAAGCTCCTGTCCTTGTTCGCTGACGACCCCAGGGCGCCGTATTCAATCCACAAATTTGTCGAGCACGGCGCGGCCAAGTGCGGCAAGTATCCCGGAGAGTGGTTTGGTCCGTCAGCCACGGCCCGATGTATCGAGTACGTTTGACGGTGGCATCTCCCCCCTGGGACAGACCAACCCTCCATGCGGCCGCATGAACTCCCCTGCTGACGTCGCTGGGACCTATCAGGGCTTTAGCCAATACCAACGAGAAGACGCTCCGCGTCTACTCGACGGGCGATCTTCCTGACGTGTACGAGGACAGCTTCATGGAAGTGGCTCGGCCGGATGGCAAAACGTTCCATCCCACATTGATCCTTGTCAGCACCCGACTGGGTATCGACAAGATAAACCAAGTATACTGGGAGTCCCTGACGGCTACACTGCAGATGCCACAGTCGGTTGGTATAGCCGGGTGAGTTTTTCCTGCTTCTTTCTCTTCGGTCTTGTTTGTCCCTGAGGTCCATTTTCCACAATCGGACACGCGCCACTTCCCTTCTGAGGGCGCCGCGGCTAACTGTTGCTGGGAAGTGGTCGACCATCCTCGTCCCACTATTTCGTAGGGGCGCAAAGGTCGGACGAAGACCAGGGGTCTAACCTATTCTACCTGGATCCGCACCATACCCGACCGGCACTCCCCTATTTCGACGACCCGCAGCTCTACACTCCCTCGGATGTTGATTCGTGTCATACACGCCGGCTCCGTCGCCTCCACATCCGCGAGATGGACCCCAGTATGCTCATAGGGTTTTTAATCACGGATGAGGAGGACTGGGAGGTTTGGAAAGGCTCCGTCAGGTATGTGCAGGGAAAGTCGATCCTAACCGTATCGGCCCACGATCCCTCCAAGGGGTCGGCCTCGGAGCGGGCATCGGCCATCGACGAGGTCGAGACGCTAAGTGACGATGATGGTGACACCGTTTTGGATGGGTAACCTTATGTGGAGTTTGATTGCTGGCTTACTTGCTCTCCTGGTATGGTTCTGGGCTGGCGTCGGGCGCTTGGGCACGGATGGCTTCCCACCCTGCCTGGTGGTATTTCGGATTTCCGGTGTGCATTTTTAGGACGGGCGTGCGCCGCATCACACGTGGCAGCAATAGGGGTAATGGGCAAGGCCAGATAGCCTCGTGGGGCCCTGGGATTCTATCATCTCTTTGACTTCTTTGCGCCCTTTGCACCTTTCGGTGATGGGTGCTCTTCAGTCAGGTGAGCGAATAGGGCATTTCTGGAAGCAAACGAGTCTTTGCATATCGTGCATGCATGCTGCAACGCCATGAGAAAACGACGGTCAGCAGGTGGCTGCAGTTGAGTAATACGGCATAACATAATCGAGGGGCTCTCAGAGGAAAAGTCGAATGGGGAGCTTACCGCCGGGGCCTGCTCTGCAGCGGCCGCTTGCTGAGCTGCTTTCCTGGCCTTTTTCTGCTTCGCCTTGCCGACCTTTTTCGTCTTAGCCGGTTCGTCCTCGGTATCCGAGTCCCCAGCTGCTAGTGCGGCAATCGAGGATGTGGCAGCCGTCGGCGGACTACTCGCCTCGTCCGAGAAGCTGGCGGCATCCCCTGGGGCACCTCCGCCGATGCGGCTCTGGATCTTTTCTCGAGGAGCATAGTCGTCGTCTAGAGAGTCTTCCTCGGACGAGTTGTCGCTGGGTTGCTGTACTTGCTGCCCTTCCTTGGCTGGTGCCGCGATAGGCGCCTCTTCAGCGCCAGCATCTGCCGCTTCCGGAGAGCTGGCGGAAAGCTCGGCGTCGGACTGCTGCTTTTCCTCCCTGCGCCCCCGATCCAGGCCGAGATCAAAGTCCTTGTTCTCCTTCTTCATCTGGCGGCGGATCTGCTGGACGGCCTTGACGTGCTTCTTGCTCCGCTCGTGGGCCTGGAACTGCATCTCGCTCTTGAACGTCTTTGCGCACACGACGCACTCGATGTGCTCGACCTCGGACTCGCCGTCGTCCGACTCGGAAAACTCGCCCGACTGGCCGCCCTCGTCGTCGTTGCGGGCCTGGGCCCACTCGGGCAGGACGTACTCGGCCAGCTTCTCCTGGTTCGCGGCGCGGGACCGGGCGGCCTGGGCGGCGGCCGAGTCGCGCAGCACCCTTTGGCGCTCGGCCTCGGACTGCGTGTTGGGCACGTAGCGTGGGTCGCGCTTCTTGACGAAGGCGGCGAGGGAGCGCACGGCGTCGTTGAAGTCGCGGACGCCCTCGTCGCGGAACTTCTTGTTCTCCTTCTCCATCAGGCGGCGCACACGGCGGTCGGCGGCATCGCTGAGGCGGTAGCGGTCGCACCAGCTGAAAGACTTGCGGGTCGAGAAGGCGGACCAGGCGTTGTAGAAGGGCCGGGCAACGGCGTCGTAGTCGTCGGCGGACGAGCCGAAAGGCGGGTAGGCCACGGGGTCTAGGGCGTCCCACTCGCACGCGGCCGTCTCCTCGGCCGCCAGCTTGCCGAAGAAGACGTCGAGGGTGGCGAAGAAGCCGTTGGGGCTGTCGTCGAAGCGGATGGCCGAGGTGAAGCGGCCCATGAGGGCGTAGATCTCGTCGGCCGTGGTGATGTCGAGGCTGGACGGTGGCCCGCCGCCGGGCCCGCCGCCGCCGCCGGTGCCATCGTCGCCACTGAGGATGGCCTCCCGGTGGGAGTCGTACCAGGCGCGCTCCTGGGGGTCCGACAGGATCTCGTAGGCGGTCTGGACCTCGGCGAACTTGCGCGTCGAGTTCTCGACGTCGTTGATGTTGCGGTCCGGGTGAAGCTCGAGGGCCTTGCGCTTGTAGGCCTTGCGGATTCTAGGAGTCAGGGGGGACGGGAGCAGACGGCCAGTGTCAGCGGGCATGCGCGGGCGTCGGAGGGGCGGCGGGAGCGGCGCGGGGGTGCATACTCGTCGTCGGTCGCGGACCGGTCGAGGCCCATGACCTCATAATAGCACGTCTTTCTCGGGGCGGCCGCATTCCCGCCGGCCGCCCCGTTGGCTCTGCTAGACGACTGTTCTGCTCCCATGGTTGTCGAGGCCGCGTCGAGCAGGCCTTGGGAATATTAGAGCTATGGAGGGGTGGGTGGTAAAGGTATTCTCGATAGTGGGGGTTTGGTTTCGAGGGTGTCCCGCGCCAAGCAAAAAAGGGCTGAATGACAACTGTCAGTGTCAGCCAGCGGTTGACGGGAGCAATGCATGCGGTTGCAACGCGAATGACGGAGGCAGACGATTAAAACGGATGTATGTTATTGGGCAGTCCGTATGTCTCTACCTCATGAATCACATCAATTCATTCGTGCGCCGTCAAAATTTGCCATCTTGGCTAGGCTTGGCATGAATGCACAACACAGACAGGTTCCAGCTGATTGGATCTGCAGGGTTGCACCTTGAAGATCTCGTCCCTTTTTTCTTTTCTTTTTTCTTCTTGATCTAAACTGGCAGGCCCCCTGTGCGGGTTCCTCCCGGCCGTTTGGATCCCTCGATGTCCTTTTGTATCCCATTGTCTGCCTGTCCGTCCTCTCCGACCCTCTCGCCCGCCACGCGACCTACCCAGCCGCCCGCCTGGTCACGCAACCCTCCATGTCACAATTTGTGCTGCGTCATTGCATTGGATCCCATTACGTGACAGCTCCCGCTCAGCCGCGATGACTCAAGACGAGCGGCAAGCCCGTGGTTCTAGACTCCATCCAGTCGAGCCCCGATTTTCTGCGACCGAGTTTTCCTCTCGCTTCTTTCTCGTGGGTGCACATGGACGTCTGGCGCGGGCCGCTTCTGGCCAAGCTCAGCGCCATGGTCCCACCAACAAACTCTCCGTTCCCAGCAGCCAACAGGGACATGCATTGGAGACAATTCTATTCATGTTTTGGAGGAGGGGCCCTCATGTCACAGGCGCATGGG